ATTGAAGAGTATAAGATGTAAAACCGTTTGCATTGCTCAGAGCAGCATCATACTTAAGGGTCTTTTCTTCTTTTAAGAAGGTATTTTCATCACCCAAAAGAAGGGCTTCTTTTTCCAAACGGGCTTTTTCAAGCTCCCAAGCAGCCCCTTGAAGTCGAGGCTGTGTAAAGCGCAGAATCAAAAGATTGGTAGCAAAGCCAACCCCAAAAGAGGTAAAGCAAATTGCGGCCAAACCCAAGGGAGAAAAAGCTACCAAAAGAGCCGCTACAACACGCATAGAAATCCAAAACGGATTGTTTTTCAAAAGATTTTTGAATTTAACCCAAAGAATCATAACTTTTCTCCTGTCTCTTGGAAGAAGTATATCCGTTTTGATTTCTTAAATCGACCTTTAAATGGGTGGGAAGGGAGACAATGAGTCATTCTGTCAATCACATGACCCGTGGAGGCCAAGTCTGGGCGCACCAGATTCGCATGGCCCTTCAAGTCCTTAAAAACACTTTTTTGATTTCTCTTGTTCTCAGTTTTGGCGGGCTGCTCTTTAGGCTTTTTAAGATCATCACCTTGGAAACAGTGTATCTGGTTTTTATGGCTTGGTGGGCTGAAACCAAGATGACATTTGCTACGCTCATGAAAGGAGGAATCACAGAGATTACTTTTTGGCATGCAGGACAGTGGCAGACTTGGAAAGCGATTTCTTTTCTACGTCACCCTTTTGTTCAAGAAGCCCAAAATCTCACTCAACTGGCTTTTGCTAAAGCTTTGTCTTCAGAATCACTTCCTTTCTTGCTGTGGAGCTTTATAGGCTCCTTCTTCTTCGTGGGAACCTACTTTTATGTGATGGGTCGATCTGTTCGTCAAAAGAAGCATGTGCGGGGTTTAAAAATTGTCTCCCTTAAACAACTGAAACGTCTCATGAAACAACGCAAATTAAAAAGTGTACTGCATTTAGATGGTGTGCCATTAGTGAAAGATTGTGAAACATCCCATATGTTGATTGCGGGTACCACAGGGTCAGGAAAGACCAATGCACTCAATCATCTTCTTCCCAAGATTCGACACCAAAAAGCGGTTATTGTAGATCTCACTGGAGAGCTGACGAAACGATACTTTGATGCGACACGAGATGTGGTGTTATCGCCTTCTCATCCAGAAACGTCTTTTTGGAATCCGTGGTTGGACGCTAAAAACGCTTTTGAATTTAGAGCCTTTGCAAGCGCCTTTGTAGGTGAAGGATCCAAACACGACCCTTTCTGGGCCGATGCGGCTAAAGAGTGCCTCGCCGCCGCTCTAGAAAAACTGTCTGACATCCAATCTCTTCCCACCTTGATTGAAATCCTCACCAAAACCAATCTTAAAACCTTTTATCGTTTTTTTGAAGGAACGTCGGCAGCAGCGTATGCAGATCCGAAAGGAGAGCGCACGACGGTTTCCATTCGATCCACCTTGTCGTCGCGCATTCAAAGCTTAGATATTCTTCAACATCAACAACAAGGGGACTTCTCCTTACGCTCCTGGATTCAACAAGACTCTCTAGAGGGAGGCACACCAGGGTATGATAATCCTGGATGGCTGTTTCTGACGACCAAGCCCGATGAACGAGATGTCTTGTGTCCGTTGATTTCTGCACAACTGGGGGTGACTCTTAAAGGGTTGATGCAGATGGCGCCTAATTCAGAGCGACGCTGTTGGTTTATTATTGATGAGCTTCCTGCCTTAAATAAAACCCCTGCGCTTCTCACCACCGCCACCGAAGGACGCAAGTACGGGGCTTGTTTGGTGGCAGGAATTCAAGATATGGCCCAGCTTAAATCCAAGTATGGCCATGATGAAGCGGCAACCCTTTTAAATCAGATGAACACCAAGGTCTTCTTCCGATTTACAGATCCTCAAAACGCTTTGATGATTTCTAAAATGCTGGGAGAAAAGGAGGAAAAGTCCGTTAAAGAAAATATCTCTTATGGGGCCAATACAATCCGGGATGGGGTGAGCCTTAATGAAGCCACTTCTAAAGAACCTCTTGTCATGCCCACAGAAATCGCCGCATTAAAAAACCTGGAGTGCTTCATTCGACTTCCTGAAGATCTTCCTATCGTCAAGCATCAGATGCGTTTTAAAGTACTTGAAGAAAAGGATTCTAACTATGCCCAGTAACAAACCAAACCGTCAAAATCTTTTTAAAAATGAAGCTGACAAACAAGACTATAAGATGAAAATGACCTCTGAAAAGTTTGAGGAGTATACTCTCGCTTTAAGAGAAGAAATTGGAAGTTTTAAGGGTCGGATCAAAGAGCTTTCCTTATGTATTGATGATCTTGAAGGCTTGCCTTCTCACTTGTCTGAACAAATCAAACATCAGATTAAAGAAGAAGGCAAAACCTTATCAAGCACCCTATGTTGCCCCCCGAAAAGTGGACAGTTGAATAAGCTCAAAATAAAGTTCTTTTTCGCATTTTAAGAAGGCAAAAGAAAAATGAGTAAAATAC